GCGGCCTCGACCGGTTCGCGCGCGAGGACCCGCGGATCCGACGTCATCTGGACCTGATCAAGCGGAAGGAGCTGCTTGAGTTGGTATTATCCAAGATTGACTCGCTGAACAGGATGGATGGGACGGGGATGGGGATGGGGCCCGGGATGGGGAGAGATCACAGGGATGATGGCGGAAAGAGGAGGAGGGGGATTTTGTTTTGAGACAGTGTGATATGGGAGAAGGGGGATATATACCTTGGGAGGAATAGGGAAGAAGGAAAGGGATGGGTGCATACTAGATTACCCATGGCGTTTTATGTGTCTGTCTCTGTTTGTTAGGTATGGTTTGATTTTTTTATACAACCCCCCTTTTTGTCTCGATATTCGCTCGCTGTTGATGGGATGCGGATGGGTTGCAGCGTATAGTAACAATTTGTTTGTCGGGACTTGACACCTTGACAGGCGCTGGATGAAGGCTGTAGGATAGATTCGGATTCCCCACCTCGCCTTGGATGAAGTATGAAGTATAGATATTCCCATCTCGGTCACTGAATACCCGAATCACCCTGGGATCTACAGCTAGCTGGAATACATCGTGTATCTCTCACCCAGATATATACATAAACGGCTATACAACACAGTCTGGGGTGTCACCTCTCTGTATCTTGCACATACAAGACCGTTGACATACACATATATCCCGTCACTCGATACACTCAAACAAATTCTTACAACTCCAACCCCCGATGCATAAATATCTACTTCAATACAGACACAAATCATACAATCATAACTATTCCTTCCATCCAAAATCCAATAAAATTCACCCATCCGTACTCATCTGCACCGTCACCTCCCACCTCAAATTACCCCCCCTACCGTAGCCCTCGCCCAACCGATTCTGCACGACCCTAGCCAGCCGCGTCCGCAGCTGCCCCAACGCGCCATCATCACCACCGCCCCTGGCCACACGAACCTTGAGATTAGCCATGCCGAGCCCGTAATGGACCTGCCAGAACTGGGCCCCGTCGACGCGCGCGACCTGCGGCTCGGCCTCGATCTCGCGCACGACGGCCGACACGGCACTCCCGCCTCCTCCTACTCTGTCCTCCATCTTCTGTTTTGTGATAACAGAAGAAGAATGGTTATAGCTCATCAGCAACATCAAACCCTGCGCGATGGCGAGCCGAGTGCCCAGCACGAACATGCTCGCGGCAATGGCGGCGCAGATGAGCCTGTCGAGCCAGAGGAAGTAGGGCACGCTGACGAGCGGGAGGAGGAGCATCAGGAGCGAGAAGCACATGGTCAGAAAGTGGAACGGGTTCGCGAGGATTCCGGACCCGGGCAGGAGACGGCTCAGATAGGGCAGGGGCACGCGCATCACGCGCCGGATGCGGCTGTGGTTGCGCAGGCCGTAGGCACTAATCAGCGTGCTCACGACGGCGGCGAGCGAAGCCGTGTCAACCGTCCCCGGGTGGATGTGGCGGGCGGTGGCGTGGCCGTGTCCGTTTCCGCCTCCGGCCGCCTCGCCGTGCTCGTGCGGATGGTGCGGCGTGTGGCCGCCGACCGACTCGAGCGCGTGCTTGAGGTTGTGCGAGATCAGGTCGAAGCCGCCAAAGACCAGGAAGATGGACATGGCGAAGCCGGCGAGGACCTCGGCGCGCTGCAGGCCAAACGGGTGCCGGATGCTCGAGCGGCGCCAGACCTCGAAGTTGCCGAGCACGTCGACGGCGACGCACACGGCGGCCGAGCCGACGTCGAAGAAGACAAGATGCGAAAGCGCCGTGAGGGCCAGCGAGCCCTCGGCCGAGAAGAAGACGTAGACGGCTACGGCGGCGTGGCAGCAGCACCAGTATAGACGCGCGCGCTGGTCGCGCTGCATGCTTGTCCATGCTTCTTTCAGAGTCGGGATGGGGAGGGACGCTGGCAGGACCGGGGGCGGTCGCGGGGGAAGTTCTTGGAAGAAGGAGTGCTGGGCGCTGACAGAGCTGTGTTTGTAGCGATGGCCGCGGCGCTGGCCGATATTCTGGTATTGTCAGAAAGCTTTTTATACTCGGCATGTGAGGCAGAACGTACAGATTTCACCGGCGACGTGGAAATGGTTTGGGTTTGGAAATTAAACGGATTCTTGACGGCAGGCACACCGGGGCCGTCGACAGCACCATCGTCGGCCGCCATGATTGCGGACAGGGACGAAGCACGCAGCGAGCCTGCGCTGAGCGGACTGAGGAAGGCAGACGGCGGGTTGTCGGGAGAGGTTATGACGGGGTCGCCGGCATGCCCCTGGTTGTCAAAGTCGTCGCACGTCAGGTGGAAGGCCGGGCCGTCGTCGTCTTCGTCGGCGGTGATGATGGTCGGCACGGAGGGGATCTGTCGGGGGCCGGTGCCGGAGAGGCCCGTCGCCATGAGCTCTGCCCTGTAATGCGCTGGCCGTTGCACGTGTCAAGATGGCCGGGTTCCTATGGAGATTCAGCGGCCACAGGTGTGGGCTCCCGAAGAACAGACGGTCCTGCCGCAGTCAGACTAGCGTTGCGAGACCGGCAATGCGAAACGGGATTCAAAAAAATCGTGGTCGCTGCGGATTCCGACAGTTCAACCCCCCTCAGCTGGAAAAGGAAGTCTTGTCAAGATTCAAGATGCAGCCATTCGCGACGGGAAATGCGCCGTGTCTCTGGCGAATTGAACCGCAGTCGCGGCCAGAGACATTGGCCATTCACGGTGCGCGATGAGGGGCACACAGCAAACCCCTGGCTGCCTGCCGGAATCGATCTGCTTGCTGCACAGGGGGTGGGGCGCTGTTGAGCGACCAGGATGCAATGCAGGCCAGATTTAGCCTTGGAAATCGCATGTCGACATCTCGAAACAAAACACCAATCCACGCCCCGTCCGTCCAGACATGGTCGCAGCACTCGCGCCGATGCAGAGCCCACAGTGACAAGTCCAGAAAATACGCACCATGGCGAGGCGCTGAGTGCGGGTCGCGACACGCCACGTCGGCCTCGTGTTTCCCCAACTTAAACACTTGGTTGTGTTCAGACAGGCAGCCTAGCCGAACCTTGTCGTGCAGTCGGCGCACCCCTTCACGTCATTCTTCTCTAGTTGCAGCAAGGCGCGACACGCCTTGGCTATGGACCAAACTCGGTCGGGGCCAGCTGCTGCGGCCGAGCCCCCGGACTTCGGCACCCCTCGCCCGTCGGCGCCCACCCGCAAGCGGAGCATCTCGGGCGGTCTCCTCTCCAAACTGCCCTTTGTCCGCTCCTCCGGCGACTCGACCCGGCCGCGATCCCGCCGAAGCACCGAAGATTCGGAAGTCGTCGCTTCCGCCCCGAACGGCCTGCCCGTGCCCTCCTTCCGAACCATTCCCGCGACCGACCCGACGGCCCCGCCTCCTTTGTCTCATGCCATCCTCCAACACCAGGCACAACAGCAGAAGACGCGGCGACGAAGGGGCTCGCTGCGGAAAGTAGCTCTCCTCGGACGCGGCGCTCAGCGGGAACGACGCGAGGACCGCGGGCTGACCATTGACACCCGATTTCTGGCGGACGGACAGCAGGGGAAACCCGCCATCCCGACGGACGATTCTACACCGTTCGATGCTGCAGCCAGCGGGGGGATACATATATCACCTGGGATACAAGACGGCAGCGAGGCGTTTGGGCTGGGCATCTCGGACGTCACCCCGCGACCCAGCATGGACGGCTACGCTAGCCGGTCGGCGACCAACGCCACGCCCACCGAGGCGTCTGCACCACGACCACGACAGCCTCCCCTTACAACCCCAACCGCAACGATGCGCAGCCCGCAAGATCTTACGACCACCGACTCCACCCTAACAAGCCCGAGCATCAGCTACAGCACGACAGACGACGAGGACGGACTGCACATGGCAGGACCGCCCTCCCGGCCCACGACGCCGTCTCTATCGCTCTCCTCATCCTCCATCAGCCTTCTACGACCCGAGCGCGCCTCGCTTTCGAGCGGGTCTGAGTCCTACTTCCCCAACGGCCACGCCCACCCCCGCCCGCTCGGCCTCTCGACAGCCTCGTCCCCGTCGATCCAGAACCGCCGCAGCACGATCCAGCGGGCCAAGTCTCCGTTGGCGTTGACCAGCCTGGCGGGTCTATCGACGACGCCGCTGCCCGCGCCCGAGGGCGACTGGGACTACGCCGAGACGGAGTGGTGGGGCTGGGTCGTGCTGATCGTGACGTGGACCGTGTTCGTCGTGGGCATGGGCTCGTGTCTGGGCGTCTGGAGCTGGGCGTGGGATGTCGGGACCACGCCGTACGCGCCGCCCGAGCTCGAGGACGACCCGACGCTGCCTATTGTGGGGTATTATCCTGCGCTGATGATCTTGACCTCGGTCATGGCCTGGGTTTGGGTCGTGGCGGCGTGGGTGGGTATGAAGTATTTCCGGCATGCTAGGGTCAGCGGGGATTGATGGGGTGCATTTGCAATTGGGGAAGCGGAAAGAAGCATGAATGGTGTTTTTGTAGAATAATATACCCTTTTTTGTTTGTTTAGTCCGGGGGTTGTCTATGAGATATGGTGTTGAGTATGGTCGTGTTTATATTTGGAACCGTTGTGATTGTGTGTTTTCTTGGAGACGTGAGTCGGTGACGGGTAAGTCATTGTCTAGTAACTACTGCGACTGCACATTGCCTATACATCGTACTGGCGGCACGCCGAAAATCATGGGCGAGGTTGTACCTGTACCTGCCGCACATACGGTCGGTATAATCCGTCCATCACACACTAACATCAAGAGCGAGGAACCTTTCACAATCGACGAATGCGCACCCCATAAATTGAGATGTTTGCAATTCCGGAGAAGAAGAACTGACATGTATATTTCAGACTGCTATAGAAATAAGCGGTAGATAAAAAATAAAAATAAAAGAGGTGGGTTGGAAGAGAATAAAGGGGAAACAAACGCGAGGGGAAGAAGGGGGGTTGGGGTAATGACGTGAAGACCATGTATGGTATGTATATGAAAAAGAGGGAGCAGGTAGATATCGAAAAGCGGGCTTAGCTCAGCTGGGAGAGCGTCAGACTGAAGTAACACTTCATTCTTCTCTTGATTCAAGAGAGATATCTGAAGGCCGTGTGTTCGATCCACACAGACCGCATTCATTTTTTTGATTTTTTGTCAAATCAATTGTTAGGTTCCCAACCCATTCCTTGTTCTATTTCATGCTGGAACCTGTGGTTCTTATTTTTGTGGCTTTTGTTTTTTTTTAGGTGAGGATCCTCGGGGGCATAGATGTTCGATCTTGGATTGGAACAAACACTGACACGGGTACGAAAAGGTTCTCGTTGCTGACCAAATCCTGAACCAATCTCCACCCAGCTTTTTCTCCTCCTCCTGCTTGGGTGAGAGGAACTTCCAAGGCCTTGCTTTTGCTTTTCTGTGGATGTTGGGGGATTAGCTCGTGGAGGGAGGAGGGATGATGTGATTCTAGTCTAGTTGGATGCGACAAAAAAATCATTTTAGAGAAGGGGTGGAGGGGGCTGGAAGGTATTTTGTATAGATACAGAGATGGGTTTCCAGGACCGGAGGATTTCAATGAAAATAGTATAGAGAGATATGATATCCAACGGTAACGATATTGTGTATTGCAGGTAAAATCTGGCTGATTTTCCGGAGCGAGCGAGTGCAGCCTTTGTTTAGTTCAGGTAAATGACCAGCAACTTACTTACGTACCCGTATTGTGTTGCCCTTCAAGAGCATTAAAACTCTGTTCTCTCTTCTTTTTCTTTGGCTTTTTAGTCTTTGCTATTGCATCTGAAGACGGTGACGCTTTGCAGTCACTAGAACTAGACCCAGGATCTGGGTTGGGGATTCTGGCAAACCTTTTACTAGGTGCCGGATAATACACCAAGTCGGCACTTAGCTCCGATACATTCATTCCGTTAGATGCGAGGAGGAGAGACCCATTCGATGTGTTGGATGAAACGCTGTATGCCTACTACCTAGCTATGCAGAAGCGTGTGTTGCCCAATGGTTGTTGAGACTCAGGGACGCACCCCTAAGTCAACCGGTGGTCAGATGATTCGGGTGGGAGGCAATTTGCAAAGGTCTCTTTCGTCTTCCGGTTTACTTGAACATGGCACATGTGCTTCCAAAGGAGGTTTATATTGGCTCCAAGGTAACTGGCTGACTCTGAATATGGCCGTTTCCGAGCATCCAAAGAGAACTTGCGATTCTTCTTCATTTGCAAGCAAACCCTGCGGACATCGAAGGCGGTTATGTCATCTGAATCTGGATGCTATCAATCATGAGATGTCTCAATTATATTATTTATAGTGAACCGTAAGAAGAAGTCAAGTGCTTCCACCCCTTCAAGGGCGGTAAGCGGTCCCTCTACTCATCTCTCAACTATCCTGCAGGAGCTTGCACCCATATATACCTTTCTAGAAAGAACAGGCTATTGGTGCATACCGCCCATATTGGGAAGCGTAGATCCGGGGAAATATCCCTCCCGGCCGCTCCTTTTGCTGTTATGTTCCCGGCCCAAAAGGGAGCCGCCTCGGCCTTGCTGGAGTCCCGCCAGGATCGGCATGATATTCTCTCGTCCTTCAACCTCGAGCGGCTCCCGGTGCTGTACTATCTGAGTTTGGACAGTGCTAGAGAAGAAACTGGCTTGAACCGGGTCGACGATGATGCTCGAGCAGAATTGTATGAGCGGGAGGGCTCCCTCGCTGTTGCACCTCACAGCTGGCCGTTTATAGCGCCAGAGTGGGCTGAGGGCTTAGATAGCACGATGCTTATCTTGATATACGACCGAGAATGGGTGGCGAGTGTTCTGTCATGCTGCAAGTTGTATCAGGGACATTGATGCCATTGTTTGTTACGGATATAGGATCTAAATTGGCGACTTTGATCGAGATCCAAAGTACCAGCTAAAGCTGTGGCGATAGCGTCGTTTCCCTGTATCGAGGCGAAACACAAAGGTCTTTGTTGTGTCTTGTTGCCTGGCAGTAGTAGGCTCACCTCAGTGTCCAACCCAGGTCAGGCCTGCTCACGGGTTTAAGTGCCAGAGCTTATGGAAATAGCCCAATCTTACAGTCTGGGCTCACCCGGCTATTTTTTTTCCTCTGCGACGCAGAGTTGGCGTCGGAAAACGGATTTTTTTTGGATGAAAGTAAAGATGATTACTGTCTGGGAGAAGGACCTGTAACCAGACGGTGCCGGAGCAGCACCCGTATCAGCCCTTGATCCTGGATACTATGAATGCGAACTAATCCAAACCCAGCTCTCTTCTTTGGTACGGCGACCTCAATGGAGGGGGGTAGATAAACTCAGACGGCACTACCATGTTTACCGAAACAGGACACAAGGGCGGGTAGCGTAATGGTCAGCGCATTCACTGAGCGTATTCTTTCCCTAAGCGAAATCCAGCGTTGTTTTCTAATTATATCAAAGCGTTCATTGAAAGACCTGGGTTCGAATCCCAGCCCGCCCAAACAAGTCTTTTTCTTCCTCATTTTTGCCCCGGGCTTCTTCCAGTAGAGAGGCGGTAGGCCATGACCGCCCGAGAACTGGATGGATAAACCTAGCCCGGCAGTGGCTAACTGTGAGATCCATAGATATTGAGTTCTACTTTCGTGATGTTGAAGAAGTTGTTGAAGAGGGCCCTGGTTACGGACGAGGCTAGCCTTACCATGTATTCTGTAGCCTCGTCACTTTCAACACCAGTGGCACTTGATCGTCTACACACCACGTCAAGGCACCGCACCAAGGCTAACCGTTTGACCGGCACCGAGATCTGATGACACCAGCCTCCATCGTCCATCTCAGATTGCCGCCTCGAACCTTGCCATCCCCTGCATCCCACGCCGTACCCCTGGACGGGAGCGCGCTTGAATCCCGGTATTCAACAGATGTCTACGATTCTGCAGGATCCGGTACCTGCTTGTGCCGATCGAAAACTCGGATCCGGCAGGGGCGCCGCCAACCTGGACCCGGAGGAGGCGTTGTTGATATCCCAGGGCATGTGGCTCGCGCGGCTACATCGGATCCACGATCCGTGATTGGCCCCGGAAGCGCTGCCGAAGGCTTGTTGGCGAGCAACTGTGCATTCCTTCCTGGCGCCAGCTAGGTAGCCTTGTTGTAGGACAGCCAAAGACAAGAGAGAAGCTGTCTTCTGCATCTCTCCTGTTGGGCCGCATGTCGGATCGACCTAGATCGAAGCTTTCTCAGCTGTCAGCTTTGATACCTACGCCAAGACATGTCGTTGTCTCCGGCCCATCGGGCCTTCGGGCGGCGGCGTCAGTGCTCGCATCCGAGTGCGACTGAGAGCTCGTCAGATATTCGATTGGGGATGCGGGAAGACAGCACGGCCGCTTTCGTCCGAGCGTCGCGCAACAAATGCCAGGCCAGACGCTGGATCGCCACGGAAAGCTCTGAGAAAAGCTTGGTCAGGAATTAACCGTTTCTTCCCGTACCAAGTACGACAAAAGTCGGTCTGAGCAATTGAAGCCACAGAGCCTCAGTCCGTCGTAATTGTCCGCGATATCTGAGCTGACAAGTGATGAAATAAACCTGGGGCGAAACCGAGGCGTACCACAGGATGCGAAACGAAACCGGGCTCACTGCATACACCTACCGATGACGACGATGTCGGACGCGGGAAAGGTGAGTTGGAACAGGTTGGGGCTCGTGGGGCTCCCGGCAGAAGCTGGCGTGAGACAGGGTCTGGTTCGCCACGCCAATTGGATCCCGCCTAAGCGCTGTGCTCAAGCAGAAGACGCAGGGGGGGCCCTCTGCCTTGGAGCGGCAATTAGCCTGTGGGCTTCGACTTCATCGTTTCTAAAACGAGAAAAGCCTTGTCGACTCGACCGCTGGTTGTCAGAAAACATTATGACAACGAAACACGCAATCGAGATATCTATGCTACACTAACGTGCTTCACAGAGTACCTACAAGTAGACAAGTCGATCGACTTGTCTGCTACTCTAAAAGCTTCTTGCAGCGCCGGACTGGCCCAGACCGCTGCAGCGTGACCTCCAACTGGTTGTGAAGCCAATCACCCTCTGCCTTTTTGCTCGATAGGGATTCGCCATGGGCAGGATGCGCCATGATTGGCACTTTGACCTTTGATGCCGAGACAGGAAACGACTGGACACCAACCTGACGAGACCCAAGGGAAGCTATTTACTCTAGTTTGGATCTGCTGACAATACGATCCATAGATAGAGACACTGAGGTGAGAGTTGATAACTTGTTGAAAGTTGGGGTCCATAGCGTGAAGTTAAAGGTTTACCACCCCTGCCCGTTGGGCTGGGTGGAGAGGAGACCCTGGTTACGATCTCTCAGCCACGTCGTCAGTGCTGCGACCTCACCGTCCTCCGCTCCCCTCGGCGAGGTCCGTTCGATGCCGCAATGAGACCGGAGGCTGGATAGAAAGGCCGAAAAACCGCAATGTCGCAGCGATGCTCCATCTGTCGTTCCAGAACGGGCGGGAGATGGAGTTCGCACCTTCGGTGGCGGGATAACCAGCCCTGTTGGACAGGGCCGGAAACATCAGTCGAGATTCTGGTGGGGGCGCAACCCCTCCGTCCCGCCGCTTTCGCCATCCACCGACTTTCAAGTGACAGCTCGATTGTAGCCTGTTGCAACATGGCCTTCGATCGTCCACAAGAGGGTAACATAACAGCGCCTTTGATTCGTCCTCGAGATGCAATATGGCAGATCAAAGACATACATCTCGATCGACATGCTGGGCGCTGGAGATGTTCTGCGTCGCGCAACACGGATGCTGCTCCGCCGAGGATGAGTGGGGGAAAATGGGGCCGCTCCGGCAGCCCAGATTCTGCGAACGCAGGTGGCGGGTCAGCGAGGCATACAACGGCGCAGTTTTCGGTGGGTGTGTCGGGTCGTTTGGAGCCACGGGGTCCCGCCAGAACAGACAGGCCAAGTCGCTGCCACGCCGGATGACTGTCGCCTCTGGAGGAGCTGGAGCTGCCCTTGAAACCGTCACGTCGACCCGTGAGCGCGCTTTCCACGTGTCAGTCGACGGCCTTCGAGACAGGCCTGGGCGAGAAACAATGGCCATTCCATTGATCAAGGTCGACTGGGTTCTTTGTTCGGTGCACATCTCACAGAACGCTATCCAAGGAACCGGCGCTATAGCTGCCATACGTGCAGGTTGTCAAGCACCCCGCAGCTTAGAAAGTCGCAGCATCTGTTTTGCCTCTTCTGGTAAGCTTCAGTATTACCAAGCGCGATTCGCCCCAGTCTTTGGGCTGCAAATGTTTGCCCCCTGCGGCGTGAACAAGTCTGAGACGTTGATAACAGAATTCGGGCTTCACGGTTCTTTCAGATACGGACTTGAGGCCAACTTGTCAGGCAGCATGGAGAAAGAGATTGTTCTTTGAACAAGTCACTTCCGGTTAAAAGTATTGCTGTTGCGAAACCCAGGGCGCGCATGAGAGAATTCTGCCAATCCGGAGCTCTGAAATTCCATAGCGCAGAAAGTGGTGCAGTGACGGCCTTAGGCATCAGTGACCCGCGCACCCCGGTACGGCGAGGAAGGTGATGTGAAATTGGAGCGAGGGCCAAAAAACCAGCTCCGCCTGCGATCGACCGTTTCGTCCACCCAGCCTCTCTCCAGCCAGGCACGGCGAGAACCACCATTTTCCTTTTGTTTGCGCTGCCTGTGGTTTCAACCAGCACCGAATCGCACACTCTGCCTTTTGCACGCTTCTCACTGCTGGCCATTTGGTTTCGAGTCGCGGTCGCCCGCAATCCCGCCCGATCCTCGACTGCGGCTGAGGCATTTGACCCTGACTCGCCTCGTCGCTCCTCCATCAAACCTAGGCGCCTTCGATCCCGATCAGGATCATCAAAGCATTCTGTCTCCCTCGCTCGTCCTTGGCTCGCCATCGCCGACCATCGCGTTCCTCCTGGCGGCCTCGATCAAATCCAATCTGCCAGACCTCAGCTCGCGCTCCGTCGCTCCTCGCGGCCGCCAAGCCCTAGCGCCCGCACGATCAAGGCCCATCCGTCACCTGCCATTGACGCATAAACTCCCAAAGTCCGGCCATCCATCAAAGCCCTAGTCAGGGGAACTTGATTTACGGCATCAAATAAGCAAAAAGGACATACCGCCCGTCGACGTCGTCGGGCCGCTGCTCGAACACTCCACGTCTCCCCGTCTGGTGCCTACCTCGTGCTTCGTGGGGGCGAGCCAAGATGAGGGAAGTCAACTTCAGCATACCCAACGTCAACAAGGCGTCGGTCGGCATCACCACCGCGCTTTACGACCGTCGAGCGCTCGATTGTACCTCTACGCTACCACTCATCAACTCGCTCAACCATCTCGCGTACCTGACGACATCGTCGGCACGCATTCGGGACATCCTAACCGTCGATGGCGGCATCGAGCGACTAGTCTGCATCCTGAAGCAGGGTCGCAGCAAAGACATGATGGATATGTGGAAATGGAACCTGGCTTTCCAGTGCGTGGTCAACATAGGTGTTAGGGGTACCGAGTCTGTCCGGACACGCGTCGTGGAAGCGGATATGGTCCCGGTCATTGCCACCATCCTGGACAACTACATCAAGGTCGTGGAGAAGCTGCGTGAGAAGGCCGAGGAAGCTAAGCACAAGTCGGACCATCATCACCGACACCGCCTCAATGGCAGCAGCCGCGGCCACAAGTCTTCGAGCTTCTCTTCGCGATCCAACCTCGACGTCGATCAGCGCTCCTTCCGCCGACAGGCCCCGCCGCCATCGATTGACGTGTCGGCCACCTTGGCCGGCTCTTCGACCATGGTGGTTCAATCTAATCCCGATGCGACACCTACGGCACCGCAATTTCAAGCCTCGACGCCATCTGAACGGACCCCGTTTAGCTCGCGTTCTCACCACCACGGTGGCCGAACCCAAGAGTCTCGCATTTCTCCCACGAGACAGCTCATCCAGCCTCTCGCGGCGACAGTTCAATCTGCCGACACCACCGACGGTTTTACCCGGGCTATTCGAGATGCCGACCGACTCGCGTCGATAACGGGATTTTCGATGGCGTCGCAGCCGGCGTCGCCCACGACACCGCTGCCACCCCCGCAGATTCGATCGCCCACCGTGCGGCCCGTTTCCGCCCTCGCACCCGCTGCCCGATCGCGACGACGACCGTCGATCCGTCACCAGCACTCTACTTCGGTGGATGGTGAGGATCTGAATGCCGACAGCATGGCGTCGGATGATTCGCCAGACGCCGAGATGTCTGGAACTGCGGAGATGCAGCCGAACGTGGGAATTCAAGACATTACAATGGAAGACAGCGACGCCATTATGACTGGCGCAGCCATCGAGCTCACCACACCGACGGTCTCGGAGACGCAGGACGCCGGGACGTTCAACATCACCCACCAAGGCCCGGTCGACGGTAGCATCGGCAATGCGGCGACGCCGACGCAGGTCCCCACGATTGGCTTGTCTCCGAATCGGCCCACAATGGTG